CCCTTGGGATTTCAGCATACTAGACTGAGCTCTACCTTGGGACTTCAGCATACTAGACTGTGCTCTCCCTTGGGACTTCAGCATACTAGACTGTGCTCTCCCTTGGGATTTCAGCATACTAGACTGTGCTCTACCTTGGGACTTCAGCATATTAGACTAAGCTCTCCCTTGGGATTTCAGCATACTAGATTGTGCTATCCTATTGTTACACGTTATGTTAAAAGATTAAAAACTAGAAAATATATTAATTATGATGAAAAGTCATTTATGATTGTCCATAATTGTTGTGCTTCATGCTACAAGTCTGAAATTTGGTCTAGACACTGATGTCTTTTAATCTTTTTTTTCTGTTTTTCATCACATTCTTTGTCATTTGTGAGCTTATTCAAACCAATTGTACTGTACCGCTTGTGTAGGATTTTATATGTACTCATCAATAAATAGTAAAACAAGCAGTGAAGACTTCTGTTAATAACCTAGTACATATTATACTGACAGTGGTGACTGAATAAACAGTTTACATGTTTACGCACATCGGTTACTAAAGATCAGATGACAGGGGAACCTCTCAGTTTGCCAGGCCACCACTTCCTAATTTACTTTTAAGATTTACATTAGATTACTCATCATGCCAAGACTGTGACTGTATTTTTCTTTTCTACCTCCACTGAAAAAATTAAGTATAATGACATCCAGCACTTTCTGTGAAGTCTTATGAATGTATTTCATGAGATTAACCTGTTCTATATAGGTCAGTATCCAGGACACTTCTGGCTTTCATGCCAACATTGAATTTCCAAAACACCATTCAGAGAATATGGCTTAGCATGCCACCATTTAATGGTCAAAACACCATTCAGGGAATATACCTTTGCATGCCAACATTGAATGGTCAAAACACCATTCAGGGAATATACCTTTGCATGCCAACATTGAATGGTCAAAACACCATTCAGGGAATATACCTTTGCATGCCACCATTGAATGGTCAAAACACCATTCAGGGAATATACCTTTGCATGCCACCAGTGGCATGGGCAGACTGGCAGACAGTAACAAGGTCATGCTGGGCCAACGCTGTACCGACTTGCATTTTGGTTTTTCTACACCAAGATGGTAGACAATTTGATGGGGACAAGTGTAATGAGCAGATAGCTGATTTATTAAAGGACATGACATATTGCCAAGCTTGGATTGTCAATCATTTCACACCTAGCCCAAATGCAAGTATGTAATAGAAAGTATAGGGAACATGCTCATTTGCTATTATAATTAAAATAAATTATCAGAATGATTTCTCATTAATATTCATTAATTAAATAAATTCACTGGCACGGCATTGTTACCGTAACACCAAACGTTTTAATACAATGTCAGACAAGAAAAGAGAACAAAGGTTATCACGTCAAAAGAAATGTGAAGACATCATGGACGTAAGGGAGAGGACACAAGGAAGCCAGTATGTGTTCTATAAACGAACATTCTGTTTTACAATCACATCTAGTTCCTTCTCATACAGTCAAGTTATTTATAATCTTATTTATCTTCGATTCTATATACATATTCGTACATAGCTGAACATTGATTTGCCAGCTTACAAACTGAACAATGTGTGATATATTGAATGTATAATTCTCGTAAAAACACCATAAGAAATAAAACAAAAGAGGCCCATGGGGTCTGTATGTCCCACCTGGCTATAGCTATTCATTCAATTAACAAAAAAAAGACAAATAATTTCTGAAATAATTTTTCTACAAGGCCTCGGCCTTGTGGTCGAATGAAGTCGGATCCAGTGGTTATACAAAATTGAGTGCGATCTCCAAGGAATGTTCCAGTGCAAAGGAAACTTTGACAGTTTCTTGGTACGGAAGAAGGATTTTAAAGAATGTCATGCATTTCCCCTATAAGGCTCCACACCTCTGGGCTTAGGAGGGTCAGACTTCTGATTTATACAAATTTTGGTTCCTTTCATCCAAGTATGCTTCATATCAAATGGGACATATTTAGGTATTCTTACAAAAGAATGAGAATAAATTTCTCTATTTCCCCTTTTGGGCCCCACTGAAGGGGGCTACACCCAAGGATACTTCAGACCAAATTGGGACAAAGAATCCTGAAAGCCCAACAGAAGAAAGATTTAAACGATATTGATCTATTCCCCCGACAGGATTAGCCCAAGGAACCAAGACCAATTGTTCACGCAAAATTTATTCTCCTTCAGCCAAAAATACTTTCCAGCAAATTTGAACAGAATCCATGCATAGTTTCAGAAAAACGGTATAAGCTCTATTTTCCTTATTGGGCCTTGGCCCATTTGGCTGACACTGTTTATAAAATGCTGATTCTTCTCCAATCAAACATTGGTTAGACCAAATCAAGAAAGAATCCTTTGCTTCCCCACAAAAGAGGAAGTATTTGAATAGATTTGCTAAATTTCCCATGTTGGGCCGACACCCACTGTTCGTACAAAATTTAAGTTCTTCTTCAATCAGGAATGCTACAGATAAAATCAGAACAGAATCCTAGCATTCCCACAGAAGGACTATAAAGGCTTTGCATTTTTTCCTATATAAGGCCCCAACCCAGGGGGCCTACATCCAGAGTTTAAACAAAAATAATTTTCACTTCACTTAAGGATGCTTTAGACCAAAGTGAGACAGAACCATGAAATTCCTAAAGAAGAATGGTTTTAGTAGACACTCGCCTTGCCTTCCACAATGAGGGGTAAGTCAGATAGCTGTTTTTGTGTGAATATTCTTGTCCACCTGCCTAGTTCTACCAAATCTGAACAGATCACAACTTAAAATCCAAGAACAGGCTTATTAAAACTGAAAATGCACTGAATGTCCTTGTTTGCACATGGGACCAATTATAAAATTAGTTGACTGGCATTTTCGGATTTTTCCAGATCTAACATTTATTTGGCGGAAAACACAGTAACAGTTAGCAACAATTTTCACTCAAATACGGAGTTTGCGAGAACTTTAACAACAGAATTTACAATTTGCAACTCCCCAATTTGACACAATGATTTTCAAGGAGGTCAAACAATTTGAATGACATATTTTATACAGCTGGTCTTCAGGTACTTTCCTACAAAAATATACATGTATTTCTCATTGGATGGCCAAAATTGATGGCCTCGTTTGATGGCTGACATTTTATTTTGTATGTGGATGTACCTTTGCTTCCATTTAGGAATAAGATTAAATGCCATAATTTCAAAATTTGATAATTAAGTTGTTTCAATAATTAGATAAATAAGCAGTAATTTCTGCATGTAAAAACACAACAAAAACATTATTATGTTCAAATGTTTTTAAGCCATATGGAAATTTAAATATTTTTTCAATGCAATACCTAAGTGACTATTTTTCATATATATAATTTTTAAACTTCACACATCCAAGGTTATACATAAGACGTAGAAAATGTACACAAACACACAAGTGAATAACGCCTTTTCAATACAAATTTAGTTTGAAATACAGTAGAACTAAACAATTAAAACTGCTTCATACAGGTGTTCATTCTGTTTGTGATGCTCAGGACGTGAATTTTGAAGCCTAGGAGGAAACTCCAGTGTGATCGAAAGAAAAGTCAAAATCTAAGTATGGAGATGCAGTAATTACAAAACAATTAATTAGAAATTACATTTTGTATATGGTTAGTTTTCTTCTTCTTTTTCTTGATCTCAAAAGATTGATTTAGGTTTTTCACAACGAAAATGTATGAAATTTCTACCCACCATTCCATATAAAACATGAAATTCAATCAAATTCAACTTTAGCACATTTATAGTTGCTTGTGTATTTGATGACTTAACACAAACAATACTTATAACAAAATACATACATCTGAATACAAGGTATTAAAACATAGACCATTAAACCAAACTGGACAAAGGTCTGTCTAACTCACTTCTATTACAGTAAAATCGGTTACAATGAATACATTGTAACAATGTTACAACGTGATTTTATTAACAACTAACTACAGCTACACTACAGACCGACAGCATGGGTTGGTTTAAGGGTCGTGTGTGGTGTAGGTAAACAGACAGAAAAGATAATACGTGTTGTTACACGCATACTGTATAGTACATACCCGGACTCTATAAATAGATCAACAGCGAAGAGTTTCTGACAAGCAATAATAAGTAATATGTGGACCGAACGTCCGGAGATTTATAAGGGAGAATGGAAATAAGTTTAAAACAACGCTCTTAACGAGAAAGGTAAGATAAAGAACGAAATATTAGAGTACCCCACGTACGTGTAAATTCCATGTTAATGCCGTTTTGCTAAACCATGTTATAATATGATATGACATAGCAATAGAATTCTTTTTGTGTGACGGCGAGGCGAACCGATGATGTCATACACTTTATTTATAAGACAGTGTTTTAGTCTACACAATAGTTACAGTTCGGCTTGAGTTGACCTCATATCATTCAGGCCCCCTTTTAATACGTGTTATGTGACCCATGCTTTGTTGTTTACACCGAGTCATTAACAACCAGGGGAGACAACTTGTGTTATATTTTTGTAGGTAGGAGGCCACCAATTCAAGTTTTGAGCTAAGAAGACACTTATTTAATTAAATATCGGTTAAAGAACCATACGTATTTCTCTTTTAAAATCTCGTCGAAAATAAGCTCTTAACGACATTTTAGCAAAAAAGTGAAATTCTAAAAATGATTATTCAACAGTAAAGTTTACATTTATGTTGAAATAGTATGATATAGTCAGTCTTCTCCAGTTCATTACTGTATCATAGAAGTCATTATACAGGGTTTCTGTTCCCAGATATACCGAAAATAAAAACAAGATCTGCACCCTGTTGACGATAGTCATTATGTGTGTTTCAAGAAGTAGATTTTATTTTTTTTATTTTATTGGTTTATTATTTTGAATGTCGTTTCTTTTCCTCCTGTTTTTGACGATGAAGTTCCGGGATACCCTTGTGTTCAATTTGGATAAACTTCATCCTAAAACATGGCAAGCCTCAACTTCGACGAATACCTAGCAAAGAGGGGAAACTTACAGAGAACACTGTCAAATATAACTCAGCTGGAAAATAAAATCTTTACAGAACCTCCACGATATGAGAATGACGCCGAATTTTTTAATTCTGTAATTAGGAAAACTCAGGAACGACTATTGACTATAATAAAGGACCCAAACTTCGGTCCGGATAAAACACGTTTATTTTGTTCTGTCTCTAGAAAATTTCTTGGAGATCTGAACAATTTGGTATTTTATGCGGCATCAACCAGAAAAGAGAAATTTGAAAGAGGTAAAGTTATTGGAGACGAATTAGTTGACAATGGCACGATCTCGTTTTTCTGTAAGACAATCGTAGAATCGGAAAGAGAGCTTCCTGCGTTGTCGGAGGCAGGGAAGATATGCGTGGACATCTTAAACGACATGGCTAACTATTCAGCAGACGTGTGTAGTACATGTATGAATTACAAGGGTATGTTGCGATACCTCCGGAAGGCACTGGAATTGTGGAGGGAACCTCTTCTTAAGGGCCAGCTCTCGGTAAGTACAAGATTCGGTATATTCAGGAGGAACTATAACTGTGGCGAGAACCTCTTCTTAACGACCAGCTTTCAGTAAATACATGCTTCGGTATATTCAAAAGGCACTTAACGTTAACCTTTCTCACGTGTCAGGCCTCGGTTATCAAATGTTTTCTTACATGTGGAATGCAGTGGCTTGAATCTCATACATACCTTCATTCCTCATACTGACCTTCCCTACACATTCCCTCCTCCTCCTCCTCCTCCTCCTCATCATCATCATCATCATCATCATCATCATCATCATCATCATCATCATCATCATCATCACCACCATCATAAATGCCCTTCCTCTTTCATATCCTCACTCAATAAAACCCTTACACTCATAAAAACTTTCACTCCGATGAATTAGAATGTGTTTTTATTCTCTGTCTACCTGTAATATTCCCTAATGTCTGTCCGATGAATTAGAACGTGTTTTTGTCCCAGTCTACCTGTAATATTCCCTTATGTCTGTCCGATGAACTAGAATGTGTTTTTATTCTCTGTCTACCTATAATATTCCCTTATGTCTGTCCGATGAACTAGCACGTGTTTTTATTCTCTGTCTACCTGCAATATTCCCTAATGTCTGTCCGATTAACTAGCACGTGTTTTTATTCTCTGTCTATCTGTAATATTCTCTTATGTTTGTCCAATGAACTAGAATGTGTTTTTATTCTCTGTCTACCTGTAATATTCCCTTGTGTCTGTCCGATGAACTAGCACGTGTTTTTATTCTATGTCTACCTGTAATATTCCCTTGTGTCTGTCCGATGAACTAGCACGTGTTTTTATTCTGTCTACCTGTAACATTCCCTTGCATCTGTCCGATGAACTAGAATGTGTTTTTATTCTCTGTCTACCTGTAATATACTCTTATGTTTGTCCGATGAACTAGAATGTGTTTTTGTTCTCTGTCTACCTGTAATATTCCCTGATGTCTGTCCGATGAACTAGCACGTGTTTTTATTCTCTGTCTACCTGTAATATTCCCTTGTGTCTGTCCAATGAACTAGCACGTGTTTTTATTCTATGTCTACCTGTAATATTCCCTTGTGTCTGTCCGATGAACTAGCACGTGTTTTTATTCTCTGTCTACCTGTAACATTCCCTTATATTTGTCCGATGAACTAGCACGTGTTTTTATTCTGTCTACCTGTAACATTCCCTTATATTTGTCCGATGAACTAGAACGTGTTTTTATTCTCTGTCTACCTGTAACATTCCCTTGCATCTGTCCGATGAACTAGAATGTGTTTTTATTCTCTGTCTACCTGTAATATACTCTTATGTTTGTCCGATGAACTAGAATGTGTTTTTGTTCTCTGTCTACCTGTAATATTCCCTGATGTCTGTCCGATGAACTAGAATGTGTTTTTATTCTCTGTCTGCCTGTAATATTCCCTTGTGTCTGTCCAATGAACTAGCACGTGTTTTTATTCTATGTCTACCTGTAATATTCCCTTGTGTCTGTCCGATGAACTAGCACGTGTTTTTATTCTCTGTCTACCTGTAACATTCCCTTATATTTGTCCGATGAACTAGAGCGTGTTTTTATTCTCTGTCTACCTGTAACATTCCCTTGTGTCTGTCCGATGAACTAGAATGTGTTTTTATTCTCAGTCTACCTTTAATATTCCCTTGCATCTGTCCGATGAACTAGCACGTGTTTTTATTCTCTGTCTACCTGTAATATTCCCTTATGTTTGTCCGATGAACTAGAATGTGTTTTTGTTCTCTGTCTACCTGTAATATTCCCCGATGTCTGTCCGATGAACTAGAATGTGTTTTTATTCTCTGTCTGCCTGTAATATTCCCTTGTGTCTGTCCAATGAACTAGCACGTGTTTTTATTCTATGTCTACCTGTAATATTCCCTTATGTCTGTCCGATGAACTAGAATGTGTTTTTATTCTCTGTCTACCTGTAATATTCCTTTATGTCTGTCCGATGAACTAGAGCGTGTTTTTATTCTCTGTCTGCCTATAATATTCCCTTAGTCTGTCCGATGAACTAGCACGTGTTTTTATTCTCTGTCTACCTGAAATATCCCCTTATGTCTGTCCGATGAACTAGAACGTGTTTTAATCTCTCGGTAGCCTGATCACGCCACTCACATGTACACGTTCGTTGGACTGGTCCACAATTCCTGTATGTGTTGTTCGACGGTAACTGCTACTGTCCGATCGTCCTGTATCATCACTGTGCTCAAGGTGAGTGACACAAAATCGGGGTCTAAAGCTGAGTAAAATAGATATGATCAAAAACTAGTAATTTGATAACAAATGTTTTACGTTAGCAAATTTAAACTTGTGCCGTACCGTAAGGCGTTTAAAACATTATTAATGAAATGTGCTGTGTAATGTTGATCAGGAAATTCTGCTGTACCCTAAACTCAGCAACGAGCACGGAATGATGGTCGTGGCTGCTATTGCTGACGTGATGGACGAAGGAGACAGTGACTCAGTGCTTCGAGAAAACGACAACTACAAGTGGGCAAAGTTATTCATAGAACACCTTCAAGAGGCAGTAAAATGTTCTGCTTTACAACACAACGGATGGTTTGCGTTTGAATGTGGCCGAGGTTAGTAAATCAGTCCGTCAACCGAATAGAATTAAAAGTGACGTCAGAATGTTACTAGCTGACGTCAGAATGTTACTAGCTGACGTCAACGTTCAAGGACTTCAGTCGTCCGTCAGCTGAAATGCACAAATTGTTGATATTTCAAATAATGTATTTCAGATTTTTTCGATTAACATTTAATTATATTTCATTGTTTGGTACACATTCATTTAATATGAGCACTTCGCCCGTTAACATTTGGTCACAATTCGTTCCCGAACGTGCATTAACATATCTAGAAACTTTCTATAACTCCTACCAAGTCCTTGAGTAGTGTCTTGATATTTAAGTGACCACGCTGTCAGAATGATCCTTCACTACCCTCCTGGACCGTCCGTACGCTCCTGAACCTTCCGTCCGCTCCTGAACCTTTCCCCGCTCTTGGACCGTCCGTACGCTCTCGGAACGTCCGTACGCTCCTGAACCGTCCGTACGCTGCTGAACCGTATATTGCAGGCTACGAGTTCGTGAATGTCACAAATTCTACCGGAAAGTTGAGTTTTCGTTTATTTATGATTATTTTGATCTCGATTCAGTGTTACGACAGTTTTCGTGTTTTGACGATATTCTTTTTCCCTTTCAGTGTTACGACAGTTGTCGTGTTTTGACGATGCCTTTTTTCCCTTTCAGTGTTACGACAGTTGTCTTGTTTTGACGCTAATAAGATGATTTTAGTAGACCTGGGTACTTTGCCAGCTCTTGTTGAATTAGCGCGGATAGATGAAGAAATATGTCTTTTTGGTGAGTACATATTTTAACCGATTTTACTATCTCATGTTCTTTATGTATAGGTATTGGCCTACATGTTCGGTAGTACAAGAACACACGGATGTTACAAATATGAAAAGGTAAACTTTTGACAAGTGCACGATTTGCATGTTTTAAGTTACTTCAAGGACAAACATGATAGATATTTATTTACTGTTTCGGAAACGCAACTTTGGTCGTGTTATCCTGGTGTTAAAATGAAATATTTGTGGCTGTTGCCTTCAATTGAATTTTCATTTTTATTTTTTTGCAGAAGCGGTGACAGCATTGAGTCAGTTGGCTTTTGAGCCCAAAGCCCAGAAAGTAATGATAGCGGATGGGGAGGGAGAGTTAATCCCCCTCTTATTCAAACTGGCTGTTGATTGCACGTTCAAGGATATAAGGGAGATAGCACGTGGCACGATTTGGACAATGGGCGTTCCTCTGCGGAAATCATCAGTATATGGACCACAGGGTAAGAGGGAATATACAAAGGTTTTAGCTTCATCCAGAAAAAAGGCAAAATATTTGGGTTAATAGTGCTCCTCTGTATTTTTCAGCATACGTGTAGTCGCCTTCAAACTTCATAATGTATATCATCTAGTTTACCGGTCATTGATACTCAATCAGTAGGATTCTACAGTTTGGTCCCCTAATTAGCTCCTCACAACAGTACTCGACTCAACCTCATCCTCATATCTCAGACCCCGAATGTGTTTTGTTCTTTTTGGCAGAGAGGTGGAATTTGCTTGAGGCTAGGTCATGAGAATGCTCAGTACGGTAGTGCAATACTTCAAATTAACTGTGAATCCATGGAGCACATAGTCAATGTAAATAACTGCTGTCCTAAAACATTGTCGCCATAAGTTTCTTGGTGGACCTGGCGGCTTTGAGCCTCTTTAAGATGCGACGTGTTTCGGTTCCATCGATTCCTGATTGGATCATGATGGTAAAGCCATGGTATTATCACAGGTTACAACCCTTGACTGAAAAGTAACCGGGTTGGTGTTTTACCAAATTAGAAAGTCTTCACTGATGGTGATCCGCGACTGCCTCATGCCATTCGAACATCCGAAAGCATATATGTCGTGTATGGATCCATTTGAAATACATGCTGCTTCTACTTAATAATAATGGGTAATACGGCAGTTTTTCATTACAAATTTGTTCAGTTTCAATGTGTTCTGGGCTTGTACTGGCTGACGGCCGTCATGGCCTCGGGTCAACTTTGAAATTCTTTCTGCCAAGAACTTCTTTCAGCGTTTGATAGTTGTAGAAGGTGGTCTCCCCATTAATGTCAGTCATTTGTTCTTCAACCTGTTTGGCAGGTTGACTTTACACGAGAAACTTTTAAACAGTCCTGTACAAAGTTTTGTCCATGTTACCAACAAACTGGTGGCATGTCTTTCCAACAAAGTGAGTAATCGGCTGACAGTGTGATCCTACTTTAAGTTAGTTGCTAAGACAGTGATATAAAGTTTCATTTGGCCACCCTACTGGAATATATGTGCGACTCAAAACGTTTCTCGTATATTGTGATGTGTCGGATTTTTTTTACATAGATATTCCTATATAACTACATCTTTTGACATTTATTTCAACCGATTCGGATCTTCCTGAATCGCCCTCTGGGTTCTAACACTGATGAACCCTAGCAGGTGGAAACAACTGTGTGATGCATTACATTAGCCTGTATTGAATGGTCATACGTGTATGTCTTTTGTATAATGCTTACCATATTTGACACTCTATTATAAGTAACGTGAAACGAGAAAGCATTCCATTAAATGTTATTTTACTGTAAATAATCAATTTTTTTGTAAATGAATACACTTAACACTTACAATGCTTCCAGAAAAAAAACTCTACATCTAGGCCAGGCAATTCTGTCCCAATAGAATATAGAATATCACCTACTTCTTTTCAGTGCATACCTTATTTTCCAAGAAAACGCGAGGCCATATAATGATAAGTTATTCACGAGAGCAGAGACAGCTACTACTGGATGTTCGGGCCGCGCTGGAGGAAAACAAATTCACGGTGTGGATGGATGTTGACCAAATGAGGGGAGACGTTTATGAAAGAATGGCGGAGGCTGTTGAAAATGCAGCGGTCGTAATGTTAGCTATGTCCCGGAGCTACAAGATGAGTGAATACTGTCGGAGAGGTAGCTATTAAACTATGATAGAGGCGTTCAAGCTTATGGTAATTTTGTAATTGAATTTAACATGTCGATGTAATGGAAGTATTTTATTTCCTTTTTTAAAATATAAATATTCATATTTAGATGAATAAGCTAATTTGCGTAATCACTGAGCTCTGTAACAACTACGTGTCACAGATACCAGGATTTAAACAAATAAAATTTACATTCATAAATAGTAAGCGTTATGTGATACAAGGCTTTTGATCATTTTGTTATGTTTAAATTTTATTTCAAAGTTTCATGTTAAAATGTCATAAGAAAGCTGATGTGATGCCTTAAAAACGAGTTAAATGAAGGTGATACTTTGATAGGTTCAATCACTGTGTACAATTGATTTCTCCAGTCACCAATTTCTGTATTTTTGTATCCTTAATGGTTTCATATTTCTCGCTTCATCTGTGTCGATGCCAGTAGGTTGGCGACCTATGCTGGTGATTCGATCGTAGTATGAAGCGATAGCCTTTTATTCGTAGGAAAATCAGTACCGCTTTGTTTTGTCTTGTTTCGAAACACCCACTAATTGATAAGATTTTAATAATTCAATGTATATTCAATATCCAAACTTTAATTGCATGTATCGATTAATTCCATCAACAAAACTTCTCCTTTTAGAGGCTGCTTACGCTGGAAAACTAAATAAACATATAATTCCACTGAAGGTAGAGAAGGACTATGATGCCGATGGCTGGCTTGGTATAATGACTGCCGGCATGTTTTTCTATGACTTCGGCAGGAAGTCGTTTAAGACGATAATGGCAAAACTTCTCCCTGAACTTCAAAACATGGCCTATCGCGAGGGAGAGGCGGGGAACGAGCGCCGTCAAGCTGCTCTTCCTACTGAAGGGGTTCCAGTGCCTCCTCCCATACAGTTACCTTCATCAGTTGACTCGAATAGCTCAAAGATCTCGTCCCAAAAACATCACGTGACGTATATGACTAAAAAGGTATTGATACACAATTTACCTCAATGTATCACATTGATAATTTCATCATTTTTAACACTATACTGGTCATCTGTTCACTGAACAAAATAGATCAGAACGTTTCTTTATGTTGGTAATGTCAATGGAATATAAGTTCTTTTAACACAACCAGTAGAAGATTTGATTGTGAAGTTTTCATGACAACAAGGTCACCATTATCAGACGAAGCACCAGTTTGAAGCGTTTTAGCACTGTGTTACGTAATGCAAGAGATTGTAAGGAATCGACGGACTCGTTGTACGCTAAGGTCGAAAATTGTGTGACGAGATGATAAACACTCTGTTAAACATGTTCGTAGATGAACGAAAGTTTGTGGCCCCACTCGTCCCTGTTTAGTACTTGCCTGCTGTAGCATATCAAAATGGTCTCCTTAATGCTTGGGTCAGCATTTTGTAACACTTTAAACCCAGACTCTGGGGTCAGCATTTTGTAATACTTTTAAACCCTAATGCTGTGGTCATCATTCTGTAACACTTTAAATCCTAATGCTGGGGTTATCATTCTGTAATACTTTAAATCCTAATGCTGGGGTCGTCATTCTGTAATTCTTTAAACCCTATTGCTGGGGTCATGATTTTGTAGCACTTTCAAACCTAATGCTGGGGTCATCATTCTGTAATGCTTTAAACCCTAATGCTGGAGTCAGCATTCTGTAATACTTTAAACCCTAATGCTGGGGTCATCATTCTGTAATACTTTAAATCCTAATGCTGGGGTCAGCATTCTGTAACACTTTAAACCCAGACTCTGGGGTCAGCATTTTGTAATACTTTTAAACCCTATTGCTGGGGTCATCATTCTGTAATACTTTAAACCCTAATGCTGGGGATATCATTCTGTAATACTTTAAACCCTAATGCTGGAGTCAGCATTCTGTAAAACTTTAAACCCTAATGCTGGGGTCTTCATTCTGTAACACTTTAAATCCTAATGCTGGGGTCAGCATTCTGTAACACTTTAAATCCTAATGCTGGAGTCAGCATTCTGTAACACTTTCAACCCTATTGCTGGGGTCATGATTTTGTAGCACTTTCAAACCTAATGCTGGGGTCATCATTCTGTAATACTTTAAACCCTAATGCTGGAGTCAATCGTGAATTATATTTAAATTCTTAATATGAAAGTCATGGAAATGGAACGAAAACACGTGTAACCAATTAAATGTGGTGTAGCTGTACCTTAAAGACATTATTATTATTTTGTAGAAATTCCGGGACATTGACCAGACAGCATTTTACGAGTGGTTGGACAGCTACCAGTTGCCAAGGTGACGACAGTTTTTGTAGAACCAAAGTGACTATGTAATAAATAGAAAAGTGCATGTTGTCGTTAGTATTGTTGTCATAGAAACAGTTTTCCATCAATTTGGTTTTATTAGATGTCCAATGGTTTATACTTTGCATAACACAAACATAAATACATATTGACTAAAATCAACATTATATACTATGGAGTTTATAATCAATGTTTGACCAAAGAAATATCGGAACAGAATAAAGTATAACTTGTTCTCGTGTTAAATCAATCCTTTGTAAGGTGTGGTTCAACGGTAGATTATAACGGAACACCACTGAATCAGTGTTGGTTCTTGCGAGAATGTTTGGTTGTTTTCTGGTTTGTTTTCTTGACTTATCCTTGTAGAAGCTGTTAACTGATCTTCATATGTCAGATCCATCTCATGACTGCTTATGTATATATGACGTGAGATATTTTGTTTACAATTACAGAAAGCGATTTGAATCTCTGAGGCCGAAAGACATTTTGTACCTTGCCCGGATGAAGGAGGAGGTAAGTCTGTCCTATCACACCATCAATGCCTGTTTCTCTTTCCTAGTATTTAGGTACATCTATACAAGATGTAGTTAAGGTCTCTGTCATTTGGTTATTGAAACACGTGCTTCTTTGGCTCAGTTGGTAGAGTTGTGGAATATAACAACGGAGACTCGGGTTAAATTTCTGTTGGAACACTTAGCAGGAATGTGTTCATTCCCCAGTCCTTTCACACATATTGGAAGTGAACGAGTGTTTCATATTTATTTTTTCTATTCTATTCATTAATGAGATAAGATGAACATTCTAATATGCTTAGGAAACTGGTATCTGAATGTTAATTATTTTGCATACATAGTCTAGATATTGCTGAATATAAACAGTGTCAGTGTCCGGACGAATCACCCTTATCCGAGCTTTAGTGACGGATGAGGAGGATTCTCTGAATATCAGTCTGAGAAGCTACGGAAAAGAATCCGTTACGTCGATTATCTTTGTATTATTTTCATTAAAAAATATGTACTACTATAAACTTAATTTATTTTACAACAATTGCGAAACAAGTTATTTCAACTTATACCAATCACTCTTGTTAGCCCGGATTGAAGCGCGCGAGGGGTCTTACTGTCGGAGGAAACCGGAGTACGCAGAGAAAACCCACGTGGTCGGGCAGGTGACCCCATACCTTTTCACTTCCGTTCCAGGAGTCGAACCCCGGACGCCTAGGTGAAAGGCGAGTGCGTTACCATCGCACCACCCGACCACCCAATGTATATATATGTAACAAACTTATCTAAAACTCACCAGTTCAGACGTTACATATTTATTTTTATTTAGTGTCTTTGAAAAAAAAGATATGTTCAAAGATGACGTTGAAGTGTTGTTCTAAGCCTTTGATAACTCCAACATATCATTTATTGTCATTGTTATATTTCCATAGGCCCCAGAAAGCTACCACACCTTAGGCAGAAAACTTTTCAAGGACAAATTAGACCCATGTTTGAAAACAAGGATAATGGCGGACTTGACGGAAGCACTCGACGACCTTGTATAAAGAAATGAGAATTTGAGTATTATCTTGAGTACTGCTATATTGATTGTTGTGAAAGTGTGTGAGAAGCTTCCGAAAACCACGCAAATTACCAGCAATATTGGAGAGCTTGTGTTCTAGAAGGATGTTCTGGTTTTCTTTTGGATGATGAAGACAGCTCCTCTGGGGTCAAAAATGATTTAATGTCAATTTTTATAGTCTTTTTCTTTCGGTGAAGCCATTCGTGAATATATTGATAGTCAATTCAATGAAACAATGAGTTCATGATATATCATAACTGCAAGCGTGTTAAGAACAAACATGGGTACCTTCGCCATTGTTATGTGCTGTACAGTCTTAAACTGTGTTTCATTGGCACAGATGGTTTACTGTCATGTGTGTATGTAACAGGAAGTAACTCCAGTGAGATATAAGTAAGTATAATATACAGAATGTGACTATTGTATAATATACAGAATGTGTGTGACTATTGTATAATATACAGAATGTGTGTGACTATTGTATAATATACAGAATGTGACTATTGTATAATATACCTTATAAACCAAATTGCAGTTTTGGGTAATTTTGCATGTGTGTATGTAACAGGAAGTGTGAGATATAATGTGTGTAAGTATAATATACAGAATGTGACTATTGTATAATATACAGAATGTGTGTGACTATTGTATAATATACAGAATGTGTGTGACTGTTGTATAATATACAGAATGTGTGTGACTGTTGTATAATATACAGAATGTATGTGACTATTGTATAATATACAGAATGTGTGTGACTGTTGTATAATATACAGAATGTGTGTGACTGTTGTATAATATACAGAATGTGTGTGACTGTTGTATAATATACAGAATGTGTGTGACTACAGAATGTGTGTGACTGTTGTATAATATACAGAATGTGTGTGACTAATATTGACTGTTGTATAATATACAGAATGTGTGTGACTGTTGTATAATATACAGAATGTGTGTGACTGTTGTATAATATACAGAATGTGTGTGACTGTTGTATAATATACAGAATGTGTGTGACTGTTGTATAATATACAGAATGTGTGTGACTGTTGTATAATATACAGAATGTGTGTGACTGTTGTATAATATACAGAATGTATGTGACTGTTGTATGTAACAGAAAGTAACATATACACAGTATGTTTATGGCTATTTATTATTTTGTAAAAAAAATGTACATCGTATGTAATAGAAAGTAACTTCGGTACGAAATGACGTGACTGTTTAATACTTTGTATAAATTATGTGAGACATAAAGTATATTCGGTAAGAATTTATGAGGATATTTATAACATTGTATAAATTGTATGTAACATAAATAACTTCGGTAATAATGTATACCTATTTATATCTAGTGATAATGTAGATTACAGAAAAGTAACTTCGTTCATAATACATGTAACTCATTGTAACTATATATAGATTGAATATGCAATTGATGTAAAAGGTGCCATACTCGTTTATCTCTCTTAATTACAAGTTTATTGTTTAGATAAAGTCGTACAATATATCACTCACGCACCTGAATGTTTTCCTCTGTATTGGCAACTTGATGACAAGCCTTACTGAGTCGTTTTCAATGTAAAAATCACGCTTTTGTGTACATTTGATATTCAAAATTTCAGTTGATATTTTAAAACTTACTTTTATGTGTATCTACATGGTGTATGTTTAAATGTTTGTACGGATCTGTGGATCAATATCTCATATCTTATATTAGTTCTTACTAGCTGTTTATTTTAGATCTAGGATATGATATTTGGTAATTGTAGGTAGCTGAGTCGATTTCTCAAAATTGTTTAAATAAAAACACAAAGAATTGTCTCATTATATATTTCACTGTGTTTGATATGTTGAAGCTTTAAAATCGACAAGAAAGTACTTGCCTCTTAACTAAGGTATGATCCATTCTACAAATCAACGAAACGAGAGAAAACTATAACAATAGATTGTAAACTTCTTTATTGGTGGAACTATGTAGGCCCGAAGCACCGAGACCCATGAACAACTACAAAGAAAATAAGACCAGGTGTTCCGGAAGTGTAAACGTCTTCTGCTTCATCGACATCATTAGCTTGTAAAACTTCAAATCTAGGTCAACTTCTCAAATCAGAGCCAGGTACATGAGAAATTGATCTATCGGATATACGATCGGGAATCGACTACGTGTAATTTCACATCGCACAAGAAAAATAAAGTAATTCGGAATCATATCATGATAGAGATGTTTCCAGTAAACTTAATTGGCTTTTATCTATTACAACACTGGTAACACACCTTCATATGTAGAATAAATTGTAGAAACAGGAATGTTACTGACTAGTAAAATTCTGTACTGGGAATTGAGATCAAGATAAAACCATATTAATAGTTGTCACATTTCGGCATAGCAACAGCTGTGATGAAGGACTTCTTAGGCAAAAAATAACAATAAAGTAATCATATTTAAGTAATCCAGAGACTTCATCAAATGTATTAGCTAAGTATTAAAATGAAGTACTGTTTATAAACGAATTACAGATATCTATAAAAAGAAAAAGTGACGATATATCCGTACAAAAATCCGTGATACCCGTAATAGAATCCGAGACATCTATAAAAGAATAAGATATATCCGTAATAGAATCAGAGATATCAGTAAGAGAATCAGAGATATCAGTAAGAGAATCGGAGATATCAGTAAGAGAATCGGAGATATCAGTAAGAGAATCAGAGATATCAGTAAGAGAATCAGAAACATTCTTAAAAGAATCAGAGATATCAGTAAGAGAATCAGAGATATCAGTAAGAGAATCAGAGATATCAGTAAGAGAATCGGAGATATCAGTAAGAGAATCGGAGATATCAGTAAGAGAATCAGAAACATTCTTAAAAGAATCAGAGATATCAGTAAGAGAATCAGAGATATCAGTAAGAGAATCAGAGATATCAGTAAGAGAATCGGAGATATCAGTAAGAGAATCGGAGATATCAGTAAGAGAATCAGAGATATCAGTAAGAGAATCAGAGATATCAGTAAGAGAATTAGAGATATCAGTAAGAGAATCAGAGATATCAGTAAGAGAATCAGAGATATCAGTCAGTAAGAGAAAGAGAATCAGAAAGAGATATATAGAGAAGAGAAAGAGATATCAGAGATATCAGTAAGAGAATCAGAGATATCAGTAAGAGAATCGGAGATAAGTAAAAGAATCAGAGATATCAGTAAGAGAATCAGAGATATCAGTAAGAGAATTGGAGATATCAGTAAGAGAATCAAAGATACCAGTAAGAGCATCAGAAACATTCTTAAAAGAATCAGAGATATCAGTAAGAGAATCAGAGATATCAGTAAGAGAATCAGAGATATCAGTAAGAGAATCAGAAACATTCTTAAAAGAATCAGAGATATCAGTAAGAGAATCAGAGATATCAGTAAGAGAATTGGAGATATCAGTAATAGAATCAGAGATATCAGTAAGAGAATCGGAGATATCAGTAAGAGAATCAGAGATATCAGTAAGAGAATCGGAGATATCAGTAAGAGAATCAGAGATATCAGTAAGAGAATCAGAGATATCAGTAAGAGAATCAGAGATATCAGTAAGAGAATCAGTAAGAGAGATATCAGTAAGTAAGAGATATCAGAGATGGAGATCAGTAAGAATCAGAATCAGTAAGAGAATCAGAGATATCAGTAAGAGAATCAGAGATATCAGTAAGAGAAAGAGATTTCGGAGATATCAGTAAGAGTAATCAGTAAGAGAATCAGAGATATCAGTAAGAGAATCAGAGATATCAGTAAGAGAATTGGAGATATCAGTAAGAGAATCAGAGATATCAGTAAGAGAATCGGAGATATCAGTAAGAGAATCAGAAACATTCTTAAAAGAATCAGAGATATCAGTAAGAGAAGAGATATCGAGATATCAGTAAGAGATATCAGTAAGAGCATCAGAAACATTCTTAAAAGAGAGATATCAGTAAGAAAATCGGAGATATCAGTAAGAGAATCAGAAACATTCTTAAAAGAATCAGAGATATCAGTAAGAGAATCGGAGATATCAGTAAGAGAATCAGAAACATTCTTAAAAGAATCAGAGATATCAGTAAGAGAATCAGAGATATCAGTAAGAGAATCAGAGATATCAGTAAGAGAATCAGAGATATCAGTAAGAGAATCAGAAACATTCTTAAAAGAATCAGAGATATCAGTAAGAGAATCAGAAACATTCTTAAAAGAATCAGAGATATCAGTGAGAGAATCAGAGATATCAGTAATCAGAGTCTGTAAAAGAAGACAGTTCCACATCTGAACCGCCTCTACCCAAACGGATTTCTTCGTATACCCAGTTGTCTTGATTCCTTGCGCATGGAGTATGTGTATATTTTCTTTCCTGAAATCTTATCCATCTTGAAAATGAAGTGACTAATAAAATCTGACGCCGAAAGATTAATAATCTTGTAAACTTCGCTGGCCATCGCTTTAATGTCAGTAAAATGTAAAAAAAAAATCAAGCTTGTTTTTACGTATAAAGACAAAGAGTGTGTTTGTGTTTTCTCTAATTTGCAAATGTTGGTAAAAGTGTTTTACAAAAATAACAGGCAACAGACAATAGAAAAATATAGAGACGTCAAAAGATTTTGAAAAAATAGTGATTTTTATGTGTTTGTGATGTAGAATTTATTACTTTTTCATACTGATCAAGCTGCTTAAAGACATTGTGCTCTGGCGTTATCCCATGAATTTTACACTGTTATGACAATCTGAAGTTTGTCTTTCTTTTAAAAATGGTATCTGTGCTGGAATTCGAATTTGTTTATGCCGTTAACCAATCAACAAAGAAACGATTATTTTAAACAACTATTATTATGAACGATCAACCAAATTCCGGATCAATTGTCCTTTTCCGTACTACGAGTTATAATTGTTCTAGAATATCCGGGAAGCTTTGTGATCGATAAAAATAATATTACAAGACAAGAGACAATGGTGTATGTCGTAACCTTAACACTCCATGATACTACATCACAATGCTCAGAGTAAGTTTTGATCATTGCGTCAATAAGAGCGACGTTCGTTTTCACGTTAGTCTCTTACAAACGGTACTGTACTGTAATATATTCACATTTCGATTTGACGGCTGATAAACCGAGCCACACGGTACCGTTTCATTACGGTAAACTAAACATCATTCAGAGTATCGAACTGCCCGAGATGCTAAGTTCGATCTATGGCCTGAGTTTGTGTTTCTCTATGTTGATGTACGACTACAGTGCCCTCTATCCGTCATATTATACTCCAGCTTGGAACACATGACGTATAAATACAGATCTGTATGTTGTTGTATCGACACACGTCGATTGAACACTGCCCGGCGACGAGCCAAGTCAAGAAGACGAGAAACCTTCATCATCATGTATGTTATTGTCGTTAATACACCGTCATTTTACGACAATTTCATTGAATGTCATGTGACCAATCTCCCGCATGATTTTCATTAGGGAAATAGCATAAACATCCCCTTCCATCCCAAAAGTTTGGGTACATGACATCAACATACTACAGTCTGGAAACATCCTTGGATTTGAAAGGATGCACTGGAATTCGACTTAGGTAAATAAAGTTTATATAGGGATCAACTTTCATTTTGTTGAGGTTACACACAAAAATAACAAACTTTCATGGAACGCCTATTGTTTCAGTCTTTTTGTTACCACAGCAACACTTTAAAATGAACAACAATTTTTTTTCTGGTGATCATCATGGACTGCTGTCTATGGTCTGTCCTCAAACAATTCAAGTTATCATTTCTTAAGAAGTACTCGATAGATCTTCAACTTTCATATGTAGGCTTCGCTTGGTCCCTACTGACCTAGTTGTGTTTTTCCCATTTTTTGACTGATCCAAATCATAAATAGTCAAAATCCAAGATGGCTGTCTGGGTACAAATAGGGACCAATGGGTCCATAGATCCCAGTTACCAGTACAACACACCAGAAATAGCCATAATAAATGTGTAAGGACTGATGGAGAAGCAACAGAAACGTGGACACAGGGTGATATATAAAATAGCTGACAGGGGACCATTTTGGATTTGGCAGTTAAAGATTATTATTAATATTTTGGTAAAGGATGATTAAGAGAAAAACCAAAGGAAAGAGGAGAAAGAAGTGAAAAGATCCAACTTTCAGAGAACCAGTATAGACCAAATAATGGTGGATGCCAAGATCCCACTGAGATCTTACCTTTAATATTTGTTCATATATCATGTGCTGAATATAACTTCTAAAGTACATTCATTTTATAAAAGAAAAGTTTTACAAAAATTGGCATAAGGACCATATTTCAAGCAGACTTCATTTTCTTGAGGCATTTGTTATGTGCAAAATTCAAGTCTACATGTAATATGACATAGGTCCTTCATTCATAAAGTTAAATATTCAAGGGCTTGAGAGAAAATTTCTTTATTGTTGTATAGTGATATTGTGAAATACAAAGGTTATAGAATCAATTTCAACAGTGATGTAAATATTTCCTGACAGTAGATATTCTTTTTCGCATTATGGTGAACATAACAGCTGTAAACTGTAGTTAGATATATTATCTTGCTATGCTGTCTCCCATTCTTAATTTGTACTGAAAGGTTTTAATTTTATTAACTTTTGTTGAGTTATTATGAACATGATTTGTTTGTCAAAATCCAACAATAAAGTAACCGGTCAAGTTTATGGGGTCAAAGATCAATGAGCTAATTTTGTATTGACATAACAAATTGATTAGGATTTGATCATGAGATATATATCACACACACACATATCATATCCAACGTATGAATGTAAATAGACAAGGTGATTGTTTCTTGGGAACAGTTACAACAAGTTCAGGGAGTTGAGATATCTAATAATTTGGTAACTCTCTGTCTGATACCTAAAATTTTCTTTTTTGGTTTTTAGGTACCCCAGTTTCTGTGAAGATCATGGGAAGACGTTGTAAAGTGAACAGAGTATGGAAATAAGCATCAGCTCCTCTATAAAAACTAGATCCTTTCTTATAAATAGATCTGTCTTCTGTTTCAATAAAAACACAACAGGATACCACAATGGATATACCAGATAGTTCAATGTATAATGAAAATCTACAGAGCAGGCAAACTGGATTTAATGGAACATATGAACCCACTGATTCTATCATTATACGGACTACAGAAATTCATCACCAGCAATTGGAACTGTGTTGTAAAGAGGAATCTTCTGGTCATGATACCAAGGAGTATAGTTTGTCTAGTGACTTTAGGTTGAATCAAAGCTACACTGAACATTTTTCAGAACGGCATGACACACCTGTTGATGAGACTAAGTGCAGTGAGATAAAACAACCTACATTCATGAAAGACAGTTTTTCAGATGATCAGTCAGATTCTGTATCATTTCAGGTGGATAAAGGTTTAATCACAAAAAGGTCAAGTTGTACTCAGTTCAGTCCCTCCACATCGCCCTCTGCAGCCCAAAAAATTCTTGAATCAAGAAGTGGTTCAAGTAGAGACATAATGAAACAAAATGTTTTTGTGACTAAAGAACGAAGCACTTCTGGAAATACTACCTTATTTGGAGAAAATGACCAGCCCGATACCTTGGATTGTGATGAGGTACAAAATGATGCTTCCTATGAAGAAGGAGACTCGGTAATGGAAGATGAGTTATTTCAAAGTAAAAGAAATCTGTTTGATTCTCAGTATATATACAGAAGTGAAACTGGTGAGCCAAGTCTTATTAGTCCATGTACTACTGCTCTCACCGAGCAACAGGATCTTGATCCCTCGCGGTATGGTCCCAATGGAAATCTAGAAAATCGATGCGAGATCTGTGGTAAAACATTCAGCCAACCCTACTTACTTAAAGTTCATTTTCGAATTCACTCAGGATTTAAACCCTACAAGTGTGAACTCTGCCACAAAGGATTTGCCCAAAGTTCTGGTCTGAGATCACATAAGCTTACCCACACAGGTGAGAAACCTTATAGGTGTGATCTTTGTGATAAAACATTCACAGCAAGTGGTAGTTTAAATATGCACTATCGTACACATAATGGGGAGAGGCCATTTCCCTGTGAAATCTGTGGTCGAACATTTCGTTACCGCAGTGCCATGAATAAGCATATGATGATTCACACGGGTGATAGACCTTATACTTGTGATGACTGTGGCAAGGATTTTAGTCGTAAAGGAAACCTGGAAACACATCGACGCATTCACACCAATTCCATGCCCTACCAGTGTGACATATGTGAAAAGAAATTTAACCAAATGAGCAATCTACGTACGCATAAAGTAACACACTCACTTGTGAAACCATACAAGTGTGATCTATGTGGGTCAGAATTCTTCACAAAGTTTAACATGCAAAGACATATAGTAATACAACACATTAAAAATAAACAATGATTTATGTACACACATAGTTCTGATAATTGCGAATTTGATATATTAAAAATATATATAATAATTATTGAATCTGAGATCTGAGTGTTGCAGCTATCCAGCCCAGTACAAATATTCATGATGTTCTTTGGAACTGATGTCATACCATGACATTTTCTCCATACATACATATCTCGGGAGCTCCACAGGTATTCATTAATATTTATAGATATATAATTAATTAGGATCAGAATTACCCATTATTGTTTACCGTGTTTCATGTCTTGATTCGGTTGAGATCAAAAGCTTTGTTTCCTAATGTTTACAAATAAAGTGGACACAAGTATACAAGTGTATCTAAATGTATCATTTATTTCATTGTTGTTGATTCCTTCTGATCACTTGTTTTAAATTCAGTGAAAATCTTAGCATGCAAATAGGAGTACAAGCTAAAGATTCACGAAGAGGCTTTTTGAAACAATTGGGCTGTTGAACTTGTTGTTCTTTAAATTCTGAAACATATATGTAAAATGTATTCGACCCATTTGACTTTATTTGATGAAGGGTGACTATTGAAGCCACGGAGTAGGAGTGGAATTGACGTACATACCCCCGGTATATTTGAATGCTTTTGCCTCTTACTGAGGTTACTTCCCTTAGTTTAGAACATTTTTCTAGCAAACAGCATTCATTAACAAACACCTTCTTAGTCTATTTCTTCAGCCCTGGTTACAACACCTCATTCTTTGTGTTCAAGTACAAACAGAGCAAGAGAAAAAATCTAATGTTATCCTCAGCATAAACACGGACACTACACAAAATCTAATATTTCTCAGTAGGATGAATTCAAAAATACAAATTGCAGGAGCAGTAGTTAGAATTTTAATCTTAAATATTTTATATGTTCACAATAAATAACAAGATTATCCAGCGACTCCTGTAAGTCTTCAACAGTTTCCAAAAACAGCATTAGGTCTTCAGCATATAGCATAAAGAAGACACTTAGTTCTTCAAAATCATAATGTAGAAAACATTTTGAGATAAAAAAAAACATCCATGGAAAATGATGTAGGTGGTTACGATTTTACCTGGCATCAAACTTATATCATTATCAAAGAAGTAGGTAAACAACCTTTATATTTAACACATGATCTTACATGTTTATATATTGATTTGATGGTATGTAGAAGTTTGTCACTAACTCCTATCTTAGATAATTTATACCATAAATTTACTCTGTCAACATAGTCAAATGCTTTTCGAAAATCGACAAAGCAACAATGTAAACGCCTGTTTTGACTGAGAGATTAAGGTATAATTGAATGTAGAGCGAAAATTACATCAACATGTTGAGCCCAGGGTGAAAACCAAACTGCGCATCTGAAATAACATGGATTCAGACCATTTAACTAACCTAGTATTTAAAATCAACATGAACAACTTTCCAAGACAACATAATAAACTGATACCTCGATAATTGTTAGGATCACTTTTATCACTTTTTCTATAAACAGGAGTTATAATGTCTACTGACCACTCCAATAGGAGACGATCAGAAGCTATAACTTCTTTTAATGATAAACATAGAACAAGCAACAAAAAACCTTTACAAACTCAAAACATTTGTTCAGTAATCCATCAATACCACGAGATTTGTTGTGATTCAAATTACTTAAAGCTCTATCAATTTTATCTACATACAGAGAAGGGGACAGTGATGGAGATGGGTGTCTTATTTACGTACAGACAAGGGGACAGTGATGGAGATGGGTGTCTTATTTACATACAGAGAAGGGGACAGTGATGGAGATGGGTGTCTTATTTACATACAGAGAAGGGGACAGTGATGGAGATGGGTGTCTTATTTACGTACAGACAAGGGGACAGTGATGGAGATGGGTGTCTTATTTACGTACAGACAAGGGGACAGTGATGGAGATGGGTGTCTTATTTACGTACAGAGAAGGGGACAGTGATGGAGATGGGTGTCTTATTTACGTACAGACAAGGGGACAGTGATGGAGGTGGGTGTCTTATTTACGTACAGACAAGGGGACAGTGATGGAGATGGGTGTCTTATTTACGTACAGAGAAGGGGACAGTGATGGAGATGGGTGTCTTATTTACGTACAGAGAAGGAGACAGTGATGGAGGTGGGTGTCTTATTTACGTACAGACAAGGGGACAGTGATGGAGATGGGTGTCTTATTTACGTACAGACAAGGGGACAGTGATGGAGATGGGTGTCTTATTTACGTACAGAGAAGGGGACAGTGATGGAGATGGGTGTCTTATTTACGTACAGACAAGGGGACAGTGATGGAGATGGGTGTCTTATTTACGTACAGACAAGGGGACAGTGATGGAGATGGGTGTCTTATTTACGTACAGACAAGGGGACAGTGATGGAGATGGGTGTCTTATTTACGTACAGAGAAGGGGACAGTGATGGAGATGGGTGTCTTATTTACGTACAGAGAAGGGGACAGTGATGGAGGTGGGTGTCTTATTTACGTACAGACAAGGGGACAGTGATGGAGATGGGTGTCTTATTTACGTACAGAGAAGGGGACAGTGATGGAGATGGGTGTCTTATTTACGTACAGACAAGGGGACAGTGATGGAGATGGGTGTCTTATTTACATACAGAGAGGGGGACAGTGATGGAGATGGGTGTCTTATTTACGTACAGACAAGGGGACAGTGATGGAGATGGGTGTCTTATTTACGTACAGAGAAGGGGACAGTGATGGAGATGGGTGTCTTATTTACGTACAGAGAAGGGGACAGTGATGGAGGTGGGTGTCTTATTTACGTACAGACAAGGGGACAGTGATGGAGATGGGTGTCTTATTTACGTACAGACAAGGGGACAGTGATGGAGGTGGGTGTCTTATTTACATACAGACAAGGGGACAGTGATGGAGATGGGTGTCTTATTTACATACAGACAATTTTCTTCAAAATTGCAAAGAAACATCGCAGAGGTCTTATAAATCCTAAGCCGAGTTGTTTTGAGTATGAAGAAGATATTCCATTGTCTAATGAATTAACTAGTCAGCTGGACGCAATTCAATTCAATTCAAATACAAACTTTTTTACCTCAGAGTATATCTTTACAGTTGTGGAATTCTGATTTAATCGTTTGTTGTAGAGTGGTTTACCGATATGTCAAACATTTATTGTCAGTTATTCTAAATACCTGGTCACTGCTTTGTATATATACGTGTTAGAGAATGTCTTTGTTGTCACAAATCTACCAACGGTGGAATTATGAAATTGTTCTTATTTCGAACCAATTTATTGTTTTCATTTAAACCAATATCCATTTTAATACCCCGAGACTCAAATTCAGAGTTTATTCAATAAAAAATGAAATACCAAAGATTGTCGTTACCAAGTTTTAGCATTGGATCCTTGAATCATGGTATTTGAACATCTCTGTCGATTTTGATATAACTATGTACAAACATGTATCCGCTCTTGTTTCAATACCGATTCATGCTCGTTGCAGGTTTTCCAGACCACTAACCACGCTATAGTACGAGAGCTGATTGATAAGTTGTTTGCCTCATATTTAAGCGTTTCACTTTTGGCGAACATAATTATATTATTATTATTATTATATTTTAAAAGTAATCCCCTTAAATATCTTTACACATTTGTCGGCGATGTTTAAGGACCTCAATACCACTTTTAAAGAAAGTCCGCCACTACATGTATGACGTCATCATCGGACCAAAAGTTGGTACTGGAGATGGCCTTTTTCAATTTTGGAAATAGATGAATGTCTGATGGAACGAGATCAGGCGAATAAGGCGGATGATCAATCAATTCAAAGCTATAATCGTTAATGACAGCCATGGCAATGACAGACTTGTGAACAGGCGCATTGTTCTGGTGGCGACAAAGTCCCTGATGTGCTTCTAATCAACTGTCAGAAATCTTGGTACCAAATAGGCCGAGAGCTTTTTCAATGCAAGATCTTCCGTAAGAATGGAATGAACTCTTTCCTGTGAAATTCCAACTGTACTGGCTAAATACCTTTCGAGTACTCGTCTGTCGGCCATAGCAACAGCACAGACTTTATTGGCCACTTCTGGGACGTGCAATCGCAGTAACAGTCCTTCCAGGACGGGCGTCATCCACAAGGCTCTGTCCATCACCCATCTTTTCACTGTAACATATGAAGTGGTATCATTCCCTAGTGTTGCTACCATATCTCTCAATATGTATCCTTAGGTGCTAGACCTTTCTCATGCAAATATTAAATCAATCACTGCTCTTTCAGCGATTTTGTCCGTTTTGCAAGTTACTTGCCTTGCTTACTTTAGAGTGCTACTTCTTAGACATAAACTGATCAAATGACACCAGACTTCGGATGCACCTTCTAACATAGTCAGGGTATATCAGAGCTGAAAAGGACATCCCTGCTTAACTTGTTTAATACAACAAGGCTTACTACTTATCAATCAGCCTTCGGAACTCAGAAAAGCCTGGATGAAAAATTTCATCCTCCAAATAATTACTTTGTTTTTCCAAACAGTAGTGTACATTCACAGGCTTTCTCGTCCTATATATGAAATGAAAAACTGTAAAATTCCCGTGGAATAACTGTTATCATCTATTAAACATGAGTGCTATTTATTAGTTCAGTCATATAACATTGGGTAGGCGGTTTTATGATGCCAGCTCGAATCTGCCGCTAACATATTGTACTGTAACTCGCAAAGGTACTGGAGTAATTTCCTCTTGTAGTCTCATCCCAGCATTTGAGAAATGACATTTGCTAATCTGGAAAGCTGCTTTCAGAAAAAAATATCCGGAATAGCCAACATATTATCAGTAAAATTCGAATGTTTTCGTACGATCCCGAGTTTTTCCTTCTCTACCTTAGTAAATTAAATACAGACGATCCGAACACTGTTGAGTCGAATACTGCGTTTGTGTCGAATTAATTTTGTGGTCCATCCGTTCTAAATTCTACCAAAATTTCCCTGTTTCTGTCGAACATCCAGGCGTCACCTTTTCAGGTAAGATTTTCCTGGCCTCGGTTCGAGTGACCGAGTGTGATCGGTCAGCCGTGGCTTTGTCAACGAGGACTTTTGTAATTTTCGATCGAACATTAACCCCTGTGTTAACACAGGCGAAAGTTAGAATTTTCGATCGGACATTAATCCCCGTGTTAATACAGGTGAAAGTTAGAATTTTCGATCGAACATGAACACGTGTGTTAACACAGGTGAAAGTTAGAATTTTCGATCGGACATTAATCCCCGTGTTAATACAGGTGAAAGTTAGAATTTTCGATCGAACATGAACACGTGTGTTAA